CAACTAACAAGGGATGGGAAGGACCTCTTCAAGGAGAACTATAAACCACTGCACAAGGAAGTAAGAGAGGACAGAAACAGATGGAAAAACATTCCATGCTCATGGTTAGGAAGAATCAATATTGTGAAAATGGCCATACTGCCCAAAGTAATTTATAGATCCAATGTTATCCCCATCAAGCTACCATTGACCTTCTTCAGAGAATTGGAAAAAACCACCTCACATTTCATATAGAACCAAAAAAAGCCACATAGCCAAGACAATCTTAAGGAAAAAAAAAAAAAAAAAAAAAAAGCTGGAGGCATCAGGCCACCTGATTTCAAGCCACACTACAAGGCTCCAGTAAGCAAAACAGCATGGTACTAGTACAAAACAGATGTAGACTAACAGAACAGAACAGAGGCCTCAGAAGTAATGCCACACATCTACAATCATCTGATTTTTGACAAACCTGACACAAAGAAGCAACGGGGAAAGGATTCTCTATTTAATAAATGGTGTTGGGAAAACTGGCTAGCTATATGCAGAAAGCTGAAACTGGATCCCTTCCTTACACCTTACACAAAAATTAACTCCAGATGGATTAAAGATTTAAATGTAAGTCCTAATACCATAAAAAGTGTAGAAGAAAATGTTCACAACATCATTCAGGACATGTGCATGGGCAAGGACTTCATGATTAAAACACCAAAAGCAATGGCAACAAAAGCCAAAATAGACAAATGGAATCTAATTAAACTAAAGAGCTGCTGCACAGCAAAAGAAGCTATCAAAGTGAACTGGCAACCAACAGAATGAGAGAAAATTTTTCAATCTACCCATCTGACAATGGGCTAATATCCAGAATCTACAAAGATATGAAACAAATTTACAAGAAAAAACCCCATCAAAAAGTGGGCAAAGGATATGAACAGATACTTCTCAAAAAATATTTATGCAGCCAACAAACATGGAAAGAAACTCATCGTTACTGGTCATGACAGAAATGCAAACCAAAACCACAATGAAATACCATCTCATGCTAGTTAGAATGGCAATCATTAAAAAATCAGGAGACAACAGATTCTGGAGAGGATGTGGAGAAATAGGAACACTTCTACACTGTTGGTGAGAGTGTAAATTAGTTCAACCATTGTGGAAGTCAGTCTAGTGACTCCTCAAAGATCTAGAACTATAAATATCATTTGACCCAGCAATTCCATTACTGAGTATATACACAAAAGATTATAAATCTACTATAAAGACATGCACACGTATGTTTATTGTGGCACTGTTCACAATAGCAAAGACTTGGAAATAACCCAAATGCCCATCAATTGCCCAGGTTGGTTATTAGAGGCTAGGAAGGGTGGTTGGGAACTGAGTGGGAAGGTGGGGATGGTTAATAGGTACAAAAAACATAGAAAGAATGGATAATATCTACTATTTAATGGCACAATAGGGTGACTATAGTCAATAACTTAATTGTACATTTAAAAATAACCTATGCAACAATCCTGCATGTTCTTCACATGTACCCCAGAACCTAAAATGACAAAGAATATAATTGGATTGTTTGTAATTTGAAGGATAAATGCATGAGGGGATGGATAACCCATTCTCCATGGTGTGATTATCATGCATTGCATACCTGCATCAAAATATCTCATGTACTCCATAAATATATACATCTGTTATATACCCACAAAAATTAGAAAGGAAAAAAGGAAAAAAAAAGTACTTATCTCATTACCACCCAAAGGAACCATCTCTAAATGCCATAATATTTGGGATTAGGGTTTCAACATATGAATTTAGAGAGGCACTAACATTCAGTTTACCAAGTTATATTTCTATTAGCCCTGTGTGAAATAGAGTTGTCATTACTCCATCTCTTTATGAACACTTGGGTGTTTTCCAAATGTTTAACTTTTACATGTTTTGTGAATGTTTAGATCTGTTCTGATATATTAGGACTATCCAACTAACGTAACACTGACATTTTGTACTATCACCTTATCTCTGTTTACTAAAGAGAGCCACTATTGTGGCCTTGTTCTAATTGTACAGGCCTTCCTACTATTTAAGGAATGTCAGCTAGTTACTTTGTAAGGAAATATTAAATTATTTTGATGCGTGTTAATTTGAATATTCCCAGCTTGAGGAACTATTGCCAGAAGATGGCATGAATGTACTACATTGGAAAGTGAATAGATACATTCCTTGTTAAGTAGTACAGAGAGTGCTTTGTAATATACAATCCAGTTTCAATTTTTCTACTCCACTTATATTTTGAAAAACTTTTGCTCTCTAGAAACTAGATTTTTATAGAACTCAAGCATGTTCATCTACATTAAAGCCAACAAATACAAGAATTTTTAAGAGGCAGAGATTTAAGTCTAGAGTTGAGAATCTACAAATAATAAAATCCTTATTTTCAAAATGAAATACCTATTTTTTTTCTTGCTGCTTTAAAATAAATGTTAGTAAATGTTATTAACATTTATTGAGTGACTAATGGCACTGCCTTTCCATAGTAATTTATTATAAGTACTTTATCATGTTCAAGAGACATGTAAATCTATGCAATGCCATTTATAAATGTCTCATAACAGGTTGACAGGATTATTTAGTACCTGCTTAAAACATGAAAAAGGTAAAAACAAGCCTCCTAATAATTGAATCAAATAAATCTGTGTTCTCATTAATCAAGTTTCTTTAATCTTTTCTAAAATGTTACCTGAAATTAAAATGCAACTGCCATTTCTTATCCAGTTTTGACCCCAAATAGGAATAGAACAAATCTGTAGCACTCAATCTGGAGTACTAATCATGAAATTGAATTGTTAGGTGCTGTGGTGGCAGTTTCCCAAGAATAACCTGTCATCAAAGCCTAGAAAATACTGTTATTAATTTAGTCAGATTCTGAGTAAGCTTATGACATATGTTTTTTTATAACCTTCCAAAGTGACTTAGTCATACTAAAACTGTCTTAAAAACGGATGTCATCTATCATTGGAAAACTGGAAATTTCTATCCCTATGTGGCATCTTTGTCCCATCTGAACTTTTAATAAAAATTTGATGTAAATTCTGCCGTTACAGATCCATGGAATATAATAACCACTTCTAGAAGCTGAGATGTGGAGAAATTTTTTTACTGATTTCTCCTGAGGTAAAAAGTCTCAAGTGACTTATAATAATTATAATAATCTCAATGAGCTCTAACAGTGTTCTCCTTATTCTGACTATACCATTATATATGCATTATCATTTGTTTATCACCATAGATTCTGTCTCCCAGACTGGACCATAAGCTCCTTAAAGTAATATGTCTTTGATTTTATTTTAGGAGTAATAAATACTACTGCCTTTTGGCGTAAACCCCTGTGTAAATGTTGTAGATGTACTAATCACACAATGACTCAATGTATTCCTTTCTCAAAAATAATCATTTTCAGATAAATTTATTATAATAGGGGCTTGAAAGATGTTGCAAAGTTCCTTTACATAAATGAGTAAAATACTACTGTGTAGTAAGTAACATTAGTAGTTAGTAGTAACTAACATCAGCAATTAATTATCTCTGCCTTTTTAAAAGCTTTGTTGAAAATGGATTGACTCTAATTGAATAGCAGATACCAGCACAAGTAGATCTTTCTGTGTCAGAATTTAAAATTTCAACATTACTGTCTAGAGTGAGGTAGAACCTAATACAAAAACACCAACTATCAATCAGTGACTTTTCACTAATCTCACATGATGTGGTAAAAATGATGAACAGGGCCATACTTGGAGGAGGAGTAGGGTAGAGGAAATGACCCAAAGATCAGGTTGGCAGGTGCCAAAGCATTCTAACCATCCAAATTAACCAACACTTTCTTGAATGTCTGCAATGTAAAGTACATCTTGAGAGGTGCTAGATAAAAATAAATACGAGATGTGATGTTACGTGCCCTCAAGAGCTTATCATTAAAATGGAAATAAAACTCTCCCTGCAAAGAACATAACCAAACAGTCTCATGGAGAGACAAAGAGAACTCTCTTACAATAATTTTAAACAAGTAGTGTGAAGTATAATGCAAAGTTCTTAAAATGCAATTTCCTGAAAGAATAAATGAAAATAATGATAACTTATTTACATTTATTAAATTATTAAAGTATAGCAATTAAATTGGAATATTGCCCCATTGCAATAGAGGTTTTTGAATCTTTGTAATTAATGGATCTTTGTAATAAATATGAATGGCTGCTGATACCATTAAGTGAAAACCACATGGGAAATTTTTTAATGACTGGGTGAAGGTGTCAACACTTAACTGTATTGATTAATCTCAAAATGAAAAGCAACCCCTTGTTAAATGCCTTCAGCTATGGTACAGGAAAGAAAATTAAAATCAACTATATACATTTTAGCCAAAAATAATATAAAACCTAATCTCTTAGTATATTATTTTGTGGAAAGCACAGGCGACAAAGAAACATAGGAATGCAATCAGCAAAATCTAATGTATAGAAAATGTTCCAAGATAAATGGTCAAGGTTCTTCAATAAATAAATTGAAGAATGAAAGTGAGAGAGGGAATCTACAAAAAAATGTTGTAGAGACATTAAATAAAAGAAATCCAACAAACTGTGGAAATTTGATTAGTGGCTAAATATTTGATGGTATACAGTGATTATTACTATTTGAGATTATAATGATATTGTTGTTATGTTTTTAAAAATGATAGTCTGTTAAAAATACATTCTAAAGTATTCACAGAGGAAATTTTAGATGTCTGGTGTTTGTTTCAAGATGATTACAAAGTTGGAAAAATAGATAAAGCAATATTGGCCATTTGGTGAAGCTATTTGATGGAAATATGAATGTTCATTATGCTATTATATCTACTCTGCCATATGTTTAAAATGTCTGTAATAAAAGAGGTTAAAAACTTACTCATATTAATATTCATTTAAAATGTAATTTATTAGGAAGAAAACCCTCTGGCTATATTTCTTTTTTTTTTTTTAATTTAGTCTCCGTAGAGACTGTCAAAAATTGCCAATGCCAACTATATTTCAAGTCCTCATGGTGGGATATAGGGAAAAGTTTTCAATAGCAATAATTATGCCTCGGATAAACCTCATTGGCTACAATACTGCCACTGTGCAAAGCCTCTGGCTGTATTTCTAATTTCAAGGATATCTGCACATATAGCCACAAATAGAATATAAAGATAAGAAAAGTGAAATAGGAAAAGGATGTGATCCTCATTATATCTGAGTATTTCATGGGAGAGAGTTACTTCATGTTTTTAACTTTAGAAATAATGTATAGTTAAAAAATTGCAGGATTGCTGGCAAGATGGCCGAATAGGGACTATTCCAGTGCACAGCTCCCAGTGAGAGTGATGCAGAAAGAAGGTGATTTTCACATTTCTAACTGAGGTACCTGGTTCATTTCATTGGGACTGGTTAGACCAAGAAGGGTGAGCCAAAGCAGGGTGGGGAATCACCTCACCCAGGAAGCACAAGGGGCCAGGGAACTCCACTCCTAGCCAAGGGAAGCAATTAGGGACTTTTCCCAGCACTCTGGCCCAGATACTTTGCTTTTCCCATGATCTTCAAAACCCACGGACCAGGAGATTCCCTCCAGTGCCTACAAGATCGCACCCTGAGTTTCCAGCAGAAAACTAGGCAGCCACTTGGGAAGACACTGAGCTAGCCGCAGCAGTTTTTATTCATACCCCAGTGGTACCTGGAATATGAGCGAGACAGAACTGTTCACTCCCCTGATAAAGGGGGCAGAAGTGAGGGAGGCAAGTGATCTGGCTCAGTGGGTCCCACCCTTACAAAGATCAGCAAGCTAAGATCCACTGACTTGAAATTCTCACAAGCAGCACAGCAGTCTGAGCTTGACCTGGGACGTTTGAGTTCAGTGGAGGGAGGGGTCTCCACCATTGCTGAGGCTTGAGTAGGTAATTTTACCCTCACTGGTGTAAACAAAGTCTCTGGGAAGTTTACATAGCTATGGTGTGGTGCCCACAGCAGGTCAGAAGTGCCTCTGTAAGCAGACTGTGTCACTAGGCTGCCTTGTCACTGGGCAGGGCATCTCTGAAAAAAAGGAGCAGACCATCAGGGACTTATAAATAATGCCCCAATCTTCCTGGGACAGAGTAGTTAGAAAAAGGGGTGGTTGTGGGTACAACTTCAGCAGACTTAAATGTCCCTGCCTGGCAGCTCTGAAGAGAGCAGTGGGTCTCCCAGCACGGTGTTTGAGCTCTCATAAGGGACAGACTGCCTCCTGAAGTGGCTCTGTAACCCACATGTTTCCTGACTGGGAGACACCTCCCAGTACAGGCTCACAGAGACCTCTTACAGGAGAGCTCTGGCTGGCATCTGGTGGGTAGCCCTCTGGGATGAAGCTACCAGAGGAATAAACAGGCAGCAATCTTTGCTGTTCTGCAGGTGATTCCCAGGCAAGCACTGTCTGGAGTGGACCTCTAGCAAACTCCAGCAGACCTGCAGCAGAGGCACCTGACTGTTTGGAAGGAAAACTAACAAACAAAAATAAATAGTTTCAACATCAACAAAAAGGACATCTACTCAGAGACCACATACAGAGGTCACCAACTTCAAAGACCAATGGTAGATAAACCCATGAAGATGGGAAGAAACCAGTGCAAAAAGGCTGAAAATTCGAAAAACAAGAACACCTCTTCTCCTTTAAGGGATTACAACTACCCACCAGCAAAGGAATAAAACTAGATGGGGAATGAGTTTGATGAATTGACAGAAGCAGACTTCAGAAAGTGAGTAGTAACAAACTTCTCTGAGCTAAAGGAACATGTTCTAACCCAGTGCAAGGAAGCTAAGAACCTTGAAAAAGGGTTAGATGAAATGCTAACTAGAATAACCAGTGTAGAGAAGAACATAAATGACCTGATGGAGCTGTAAACACAGCATAAGAACTTGTGAAGCATACACAAGTTTCAATAGCTGAATCGACCAAGTGGAAGAAAAGATATCAGAGACTGAAGATCAACTCAATGAAATAAAGTGAGAAGACAAGATTAAAGAAAAAAAAGTGAAAAGAAATACACAAAGCCTCCAAGAAATAGGAGATTATGTGAAAAGGCCAAATCTCTGTTTGATTGGTATGCCTGAAAGTAATGGGGAGAATGAAACCAAGTTGGAAAGCACTCTTCAGGATACTATCCAGGAGAACTTCCCCAACCTAGCAAGGCAGGCCAACATTCAAATTCAGGAAATACAGAGAACACCACAAAGATACTCCTTGAGAAGAGCAACCCCAAGACACGTAATTGTCATATTCATCAGGGTTGAAATGAAGGAAAAAATGCTAAGGGAAACCAGAGAGAAAGGTTGTGGTAACCACTAAGAAAGCTCCTCAGGCTCACAGCAGTTCTCTTGGCAGAAACTCTACAAGCCAGAAGAGAGTACGGGCCAATATTCAACATCCTTAAAAAAAAAAAAAAAAAAAAAAAAGAATTTTCAACCCAGAATTTCATACTCAGCTAACCTATGATTCATCAGCAAAAGAGAAATAAATTCCTTCTCTAGACAAGCAACTGCTGAAAGATTTTGTCAGCACTAGGCCTCCCTTATAAGACCTTCTGAAGGAAACACTAAACATGGAAAGGAATAACCAGTACCAGCCACTGCAAAAATATACCAAATTGTAAAGACCATCGACACTATGAAGGAACTGCATCAACTAACAGGCAAAACAACCAGCCAGCATGATAATGGCAGGATGAAATTCACACATAACATTAACCCTAAATGTAAATTGGCTAAATTCCCCAACTGAAAAACACAGACTGGCAAACTGGATAAAGAGTCAAGACCTATTGGTGTGCTGTATTCAGGAGATCCTTCTCATGTGCAAAGACACACATAGGCTCAAATAAAGAGATGGAGGAAGATTTACTAAGCAAATGGAAAGCAAAGCAGTTTGCAATTCTAGTTTCTGATAAAAACAGGCTTTAAACCAACAAAGATCAAAAGAGACGAAGGGCATCACACAATGGTAAAGGGAGCAATGCAACAAGAAGAACTAACTATCCTAAATATATATGCACACAATACAGGAGCACTCAGATACATAAAGCAAGTTCTTAACGAACTACAAAGAGAATGAGACTCCCACACAGTACTAGTGGGAGACTTTAACACTGTACTGTCAATATTAGACAGATCAACCAGATGGAAAATTAACAAGGATATCCAGGACTTGAACTCAGATCTGGACCAAACGGACCTAATAGACATCTACAGAACTCTCCACCCAAAATCCACAAAATATATATTCTTCTCAGCACCACATCAAACTTACTCTAAAATCAACCACATAATTTAGAAGTAAAACACTCCCTGGCAACTGCAGTAGAACATAAATCATAACTGCAGTAGAACATAAATCATAACATTCTCTCAGACCACAGTGCAATCAAATGAGAACTCAGGATTAGGAAACTTAGTCAAAACTGGACAACTACATGGAAACTGAAAAACCTGCTCCAGAATGACTACTGGTTAAAGAATGAAGTGAAGCAGGAATAAAGATGTTATTTGAAACCAATGAGAGTGAAGGCACAATGTACCAGAATCTCTGGGACACATTTGAAGCAGTGTGTAGAGGGAAATTTATAGCACTAAATATCCACAGGAGAAATTAGGAAAGATAGAAAATTGACACCCTAATGTCACAATTTAAAAAACTAGAAGAGCAAGATCAAATTTAAAAGCTAGTAGAAGACAAGAAATAACTAAGATCAGAGCAGAACTGAAGAAGACGGAGACAAAAAAGCCTTTCAGAAAATCCATGAATTCAGGAGCTGGTTTATTGAAAAGATCAACAAAATAGACCGCTAACCAGACTAATAAAGAAGAAAAGAGAGAAGAATCAAACAGAAGCAATAAAAAATGATAAAGGGGTTATCACCACTGATCCCACAGAAATACAAACTACCATCAGAGAATACTATAAACACCTCTATGCAAATAAACTGGAAAATCTAGAAGAAAAGGATAAATTCCTGGACACTTACACCCTCCCAAGACTAAACCAGGAAGAAGTTGAATTCTTGAATTGAAGCAGCCTACCAAATAAAAAAAGTCCAGGACCAGATGGATTCACAGCCAAATTCTACCAGAGATACAAAGAGAAGCTGATATCATTCCTTCTGACATTATTCCAAACAATAGAAAAAGAGGACATCTTCCCTACCTCATTTTATGAGACCATCATCATCCTGTTACCAAAACCTGGCAGAGACACAACTAAAAAAGAAAATTTCAGGCCAATATACATGATGAAAATTGATGCAAATATCCCCAATGAAATATTGGTAAACTGAATCCAACAGCATTTCAAAAAGCTTATGCATCATGATCCAGTCAGCTTCATCTCTGGGATGCAAGGCTGGTTCCACATATGCAAATCAATAAATGTAATCCATCACAGAAACAGAACCCAAGACAAAAAAACCACATGATTATCCTAATAGATGCAAAGAAGATCGTTGACAAAATTCAACAGCCCTTTATGCTAAAAACTCTCAATAAACTAGGAATAAATGGAACATATCTCAAAATGATGAGACTATTTATGACAAACCCATAGCCAATGTCATACTGAATGGGCCAAAACTGGAAGGATTCGCTTTGAAAACTGGTACAAGACAAGGATGCCCTCTTTCACCACTCCTACTCAACATAGCATTGGAAGTTCTGGCCAGGGCAATTGGCATGAGAAAGAAATAAAGGGTCTTCAATTAGGAAAAGAGAAAGTCATGTTGGCATAACAGATGGCATGATTGTATATTTAGAAGACTCCACCATCTCAGCCCAAAAACTCCTTAAGCCAATAGGCAACTTCAGCAAAGTCTCAGTATACAAAATCAATGCACAAAAATCACAAGCATTTCTATACACCAATAACAGACAAACAGCCAAATCATGAGTGAACTCCCATTCACAACTGCTAAAAAGAGAATACCTAGGAATGCAACTAACAAGGGATTTGAAGGACCTCTTCAAGGAGAACTACCAATCACTGTGCAAGGAAATAAGAGAGGACATAAACGGATGGAAAAACATTCCATGCTCATGGTTAGAAAGAATCAGTATTGTGAAAATGGGTATACTTCTC